CTACTAGCTATGGGTACCACCTTTGTGTTTATAAATAAAGTAAGTTAGGATAACCAGAGCAATAATTGGCCCTTTCAAATAATGAGTGTTGTAGAATTCTGCTGTTTCACTCCAAGATGGGGAGTTCTTGAACGGCACGATTGATGAAATTCAGCGTCGATGTATGGCAATCAGGTACGCCAACCGCTCGCGTGGTCCCGCCACGAATCAAATATGCAGCAAAACTTTAATCCACTTAAATATCGGCTAAAAAGGATTAAATAACTCAGACCATCAACATCAATTGATAGTAACTCTTATCTCGTTGGCTATCTCAATGTTTTAAGCAATTGCGACAGCTGCACGCTTACCGATGAATGTGGTTTCTGCCAAAAAACAGGTACCAATGAAGGATACTGTATGAAGACGGGAAGTGTAGATTCTGGTTCACTGGCTGCGTATGGACAATGTAGTGTTCCGGAGCCCGGTTAGTTTGCTTCACAATGCTTTAAAGCTGTAAAATTTGCGATATCAGCGTCTATCCTAATATTTTAGTGGGATATGAATGGGACGGTCATTCGTGTAAAACGAAGCTGACTATTGTCTTCATCATTCTTATGCTCTTCTACCTCCTTGCTTTTTCAGCGGGTAGGAATTTTGTTTATGGCATTGTCATTAGCTTGTCACATACTTTATCCACTTCAGGGTACGCTCCCCTTCCCTGGGTACTGAATGCAGAATTCTATCCTCTTTGGGCAAGGAGCACGTGCGTATCCATCTCAACCATGACCAACTGGATAGTAAACCTCATCATCTCGTTGACATTTATTAGTTTGAGTCAGGCTTTGCAGAAATACGGTATGTTCTCCTCTATCATAACAACGAAAATAAAGTGTAAGTTATGCTATATTCCAGGTGCCTACTATTTTTATGCTGCATTTACCTTCATTGCATTTTTGTTTATCTACTTCCTCCTGCCAGAAACTCGCGGATACTCTATTGAAGAGGTCGAAAGGCTCTTCATGAGCAAAGAAGAAAGAGAACGTACTGTCTCTAGGAAAAGTACTCTTGACAAGATCAAGCCTGCAGGTGTCACCGTCGTACAGTTGAATTAGGAAAAGATGGTGATGCTAGTAATTTAGGAAATGCTCATGTGAATGTAAACAATTTTTGTTTTTTGTACTGAGAATACTTATCAGACATCATTGATCTGCCTTTATATGACCGCATATCTTGCTTGATCACTGACACCTTGTCAAAAGGTAATCTTGTATGAATCTCACCATGGTTAAGGTAACTTAGAGCTTTATCAAAATAGGATTGAAAAACAGAGCAGATCTATGTTTAAGAGAAACGTTAGATTTGTGTTTGACTTATTTTTCATGTTAATTTATTATTGTGCATTGTTTCAACATTTTATCATGTATATAAATTGAACATTTTGTAAAGTTACTATACCTGCGCGCTTAGTTACTCATTCCTCAATATAAATCCATAAAGTTCAGTAAAGTATGACCGTCTTAGTGCAGTGAATTTACTCGATATAAAACTAGGCCTTGGGTATGGAGCCCGGCAGAAGTTGAATCCTACTTTTCTAAAAACGAAGCCCCCTCCCTGATGTCCGAAAATTTAACGAAGTCCCCTTCGACCCTAATTGGAAACGACTTAAGAGAACATGGAAACAGAAATTATTTACTAGTCTCAAAAACGTGAAGTAAAGGTGAAAATTTGAAGTACTGACTGCAACGAATGCACAAGAGTTTTGCATTGGGGCTCAACCAACAAAGCCGTATGAAGAAGTCAAAGCAAATAGAATAGCAGGGCAATGATACGAAAACGTCTTTATGCTTACAAACAATTGACCGGGAATACTGTCCATGACAGGGTATCCAAACCTATGTGAAGTTACAAAAATACATGCTGTATACGATCTAAGCATATAATGGCCTGGAAATGGACCAGTTTCGAAAAAGCTTCAAACATAATTTATATTCCATGTCTGCATTCTGATTTCGGCCATGACCATACGGCACGTCTTTTTTTACGGAAACAATGAGTAATAGCGCCTACAAGGAGTCAATAATATAGCTAACATACCGAGGAGGCGCTAGAACATCGCCGCTTCACATGCCTTAGCAACTACACCCTCCTATGCCAGCGCTAAGAGCCGCACTAGCTTGAATTGCTACAACTACAGCATCACCATGCTCTGTAGTCGCCACAACACAGAATTCACCACAGCATCATTACTCCACAGTGTGTTCGCGCTGCACCCATTCTGTGCAAGTGCTAGGAGCCACACTAGCTTGTTGCTACAACATCACCATGCTTTTGTAGTCGCCATAACAGAGGAATCGCCAAAGCCATTTTGGAATGCAAAGAGATCATAAACATGCGTTTGCATGTCATGTAAACACACTCCTTCGACAGGTTGCTATACGAATGACATACAAGATGATGTCGCTCTCGCGTCATCTTCATCCAAATTTTTTTATCACTGAGTTGTAATCAGAGTTGAGCAAGAGGTGTGGCACATAACAGCAGCATACGACCCCCACCACCTGTTCAAGAACCCTAATCTCAACATATCGTTTGCCTAACGTAGGCACGATATAAAGGCTCTGCCAAGCATCGTTTGTAACATAATTGTTATTGTCATGTCAGATTCCGGGTTTCCGTAAAGTCTTAGAAAATTCTGAGGGTTTCTGATACGGGCCACCCAAGTGAAATGGTCACTTTTGACATGGACAACTATTTCTCAAAAGTGAACTAACTACCTCTCTTTGTATTCAGTAGAAAGCACTACTCCCTATCCCATATCATAAATCCTGCTTCAAATCATCAAGCAATGGAATTAGGAGCCAGTCTAATTCTCATTTGTACCATCTCTCGCTTACAGTGGTTGTGCTTCCAGCAACTTCTGCTAAAAGAAAGAAGAAGAGTTCAGCTCCAATCACTTCTTTAAAACTATGAGATTTTGGCTATCGAACTATATAGACTTTGTTGTTAAGCTTTTCTTTGAAGGTGAGTTGAGCAGAAGCAGAATGTAGCAGAATTCCGAGTGTAGCAGAATTCGAAAAGGTATGGCTGCCATACCTTTTTAGGGTTTGCACACCCCATCAACTTACCTCCAAACATTCACACATCTGTAATCTTAAATGGTTGTAACTGCCAATTCTTCTTTTCTACATAGCAGGAATTTAATCCTAGGGAAAGGAATAGTCGTTTTTCTTTGCCTGTG